TATGAATAAATGCTTAAAAAATAAGATATGTTATGATAATAACAATAATTGTGTTAGGGATATTTATACAAACAAGAATTTAGATGAAAATAAGATAAATGATTTTTGTAAAAAAGAGTTTTTCAAAGCTAAATTCAATTCAAAGCAATTAGTTTTATTACTAGTGCTATGTTTCGGGAGTGTATTGACCAGTACTGCCGCATCACTTGACGGACCATTTTTCCCATCATTTGTATGTATAGTATATCACATATTAGACATTTAGTGATGTTTTATTTTTAATTTTATACGACAAAATAGTTTTAAAACAGCGTACATTTTTCAAAGTTAATTTCAAATCTTTAAATAAATCTCAAATGCATTGTTTTGTACCAAAGATTTGTTTTAATTTGATTTTAGGCACATTCAAGAGGAATAGGCGAGACATGGATTGGTGTCATTAACGGGATTATTAATTTTGGATTTATTACTGGATCTATTTTATCTAGAAAATTGGTAAATTTGTAATTTTCTTATTAAAATTCTTATATCAATATACTGTATGACAAATACAAGTATTAATAACACGTTTCCTCTATAGTTAACTCGATTTAAACCAAAATACATATTGAAATCTACTGTATTCATGTTTGGGTTATGTGTCATACTGTTTGGGTAATTACTATATTTATTTTAAGAATAGAAAATATAATTTATTATTTATATACTAGATCACTTCAATGGTGTTACTCAACAATCCATTTCATTGTCATTGCAATAATAATACAAATCCTAATTGGATTACAAATGGGTACTTATTTTACTACTTGTTATTCAATCATATGTTTGGAGTTTTCTGATAATATGTCTGATGTATATGTGAGTATTAATTAAGTTAATTGATTAATACAACATAACCCAAGTTAATAATATTATTAACTTTTAGGCCAAAATAGAAATAAACTTCACGATTGGTTTAATAATAGGACCGCCTATTGCTGGATTTTTATACCAGGTAGCTTAACTTTTAAAAATTATAATTTAATAACTAGTACTGGTATTATTATGATTAATTTGTATCTTAAAAAATTAATTGATGAGATAATGTTTTGCATTTAAAAAGTTGGGCGACTTATATGGTTTGGGTTTTTGTATGCCTTTCTATGTGTTCGGAATCATATCATTATTGACGGCTATTGTCATTCATTTCACAGTCAATACTGACAGTGAGTTTAGTATATTATTTCATTACTAATATTATAATAGCTTATTATTATTGCCTTATTTATACAGAATTGTATGTAAACACCGATAAGATTACATTTTGTCAACTATTGTCCAACACTGGTGTAGCACTTAATGTATTGCTCACATTGAATGCCGGCGCTCTCATCGGATATAACACTACAACATTGGACTTACACATAAATACTGTAATTAATTAAATTTAGTTAACTTTAAATTATAGATTTACACTTATATTAAATTTCTACATTAGATCACGAATATAAGCACCGGTTCTAAAGGGTTGATATTTTTAATATCCGGTTTATCACTGGCTTTATTTAATAATATCTGGGAACACCTAGCTCATAAATGTGATAATAGCTTTAAAATAAGTTTAATGGGATGTTTGTTAACACTCATGTGTTTAGCTATAATAGGACCACTACCTGCC